GGAAGCATTGTGGGCTATGATAGACTGTCTTCAAGGAAAACAACTTTATGCTTCTTCCATGGTAAATATCCATCTTAGCTAAAATCCTTTTGAAGCTATTTCAAGGGTCCCTATTAACTTTCTAAAGTGCTTTCTATCTGTGAAACTCTAAATGCAAAAATGCTTGAACTAAAGCATATAAAGCTGTAAATACTATAGGATTAATTTTAAGGCTCGTTGAAGTGATGTCTTAAGTTTACGTTTAACAAACTTTTTATTAGCTGTACAGTGATATAAAATGTCATTGATGTAATTAATGACTAAGACAAATAATCAAGATGAGTATCCTGTAATCAAAGAACTTGTAAGTCAATGAGGGAAACATATGTAAACCACTAATAATATGAGGTAGAATAAGTACTATAAAAGAGATATAGGTAACTGTAGGGGCATGCAAGAATAATTAATCATTATTTCCATGCAGAGAGATCAGGATATGGTGTTTGAGGTCCTCCTTAGAAGGCGCTCACGTGCTTACTGAATAAGTGAATAAGCAGAACAAGGAAGTGACATTTGAGCCATATCCTAAAAGATGAAGGAGAAAGCCCAGAATGGGAATTCTGGTCAAAGCCATAGAAAGACTTGAATTGTACTACTATCATAATTGAACTAATTTTGAATTGTTTAATACAGTAGAACCTGTATCAAAAGGTTCAAATAAGAAACTCCAGATCATGGTTAGTATAAATATGCTTTCTTTAGAGGCTTAGCATGTCACAGGGTGGCCTGCACCCATGTTCTTTTAGTGCACATTGCTTTAAAATTGGAAAATTGTTCCAAAAATCAGTCTGTATTTCTGACTTCTAATGAAGTATAAAATTTAGGAATCCTAGGGGCCGGCATGGTGGAGTAGCGGTTAAGTGTGTACGCTCCATTGCTGGTGGCCCGGGTTCAGATCCCGGGCGTGCACCGATGCACTGCTTGTCAAGCCATGCTGTGGCGGCGTCCCATATAAAGCAGAGGAAGATGGGGACGGATGTTAGCGCAGGGCCAGTCTTCCTCAGCAAAAAGAGGAGGATTGGCAACAGATGTTAGCTCAGGGCTGATCTTCCTCACAAACAAACAAAAATTTAGGAATCTTAGATCTCCCTTTTGAAATGTCAGCCAGTTGGCATGGTGTAGCAGCAACTTGCTCTTCAATTCACCCTAGTCCTCACCACTGTTATTTCAGCCCAACCTGCCCTGATTGGGGGAACCAAGATTTTGGGATTCGTGATATACTGGCTATGACAAGAATGAATTCCTAATGACACACAGTGCCGTCACTAGAAAGTGCTTTTTGAAAACCTCTGTACATACAGAGGTTATGCTTCTTTGTGTGCAGAGTGGTGTAAATAGCTTATGCAGGGTTTCTCTCAAGAAACCACTGAAGGGGCCGGCCCCGTGGCTTAGCGGTTAAGTGCTTGCGCTCCGCTGCTGGCGGCCTGGGTTCGGATCCCGGCGCGCACCGGCGCACCACTTCTCCGGCTATGCTGGGGCCGCGTCCCACATACAGCAACTAGAAGGATGTGCAGCTGTGACATACAACTATCTACTGGGGCTTTGGGGGGAAAAAAATAAATAAATAAAATCTTTAAAAAAAAAAAAAGAAACCACTGAAAATACAGACAGGGCAAGTAAGTATTCTTACAGATACGTATTTATTCATCTCTGTGATTAACACTCAAATTTGGTCAGTTTATGCATAAAGGTGTAAGCTTTATGTGTAGAATGTAAGTGAATTTTAATAAGGATGGTAGTGTTAAAGCCCACTGGCTCAATCTAGCAAAACTTTGGGGAGGAGTTACATTTTAAAATAAAGTAGAAGAATGCAAAGATTGGGATTTAGCAGAAAAGCAGCATCACAAATACCTTTGAAAGTAGAGAGTATAAATTATAAATAAACTTAGAGAATGCCTTTTCCCTCTGGCCAGATGCTGGAGGTTAAAGGCAGCGAAGACATTATTGTGTTTTCTTGACAACTACAGGTTTCCCCCACAATCTGAAAGTAGAGCATTCCTATGAAACCTTTCATAAGCTGAAATGGTGTAAAGTGAAGAAGCAATTACCACTAATTTATATGGGAAAAATTTTTGAGTGTTCCCAGACCCAAAAAATAACCAAAATAAATCGAGAGAAAGCACAGGTGCTCAGAGACACAGTTCAAAGGCGTGGTGGCTTGATGCTGAGCTGTTAAGTGTAGTTCCCGGGGAAGGCGCTTGGTGGCACCACTCTTGCTGCTTGGGGTGCGCATTGCCTCGATAGCGGCTTGCTGCAAAACAAATGCTGAACGCTATTTTCACTTTTTGCCTTTTTTCATAAAAACGAAGATCCTCTTTGGATTTCTTTTGGTTAACAAACACTGGTACTAATGTAGGTCTTTTGTGAAAGTGAAGTGGTGTAAAGTGACTTTTCAGATAGCAGGGGAAACTTGTATGTCTTTTAATTTTAGGCTCAGGCGCCAGAACAAATAGTGACATTATATGAAGATGAACAGTATCCAGTTCATATGTCATTAGTAGAAATGGGGCTCGCAGATGAAGATGAATGATGTAAGTATCATGACTTCTTGTTCACCCTTCTTGTTCATCCTTATAATCAGCATTGGCATGTGACTACTAATATAGCAGAGATTAATGCTAAATTGAATATAAAAGCACCTTTGGACTTTCCTTGATTTCTCAAAGGAATGACAACAAAGCTCAACGAAAAGCTCTCTTCCAGATTTCTCTTTCATAGGCCCTTCTCTGAATACCAGTATCAAAGAGGTTCCATATCTAAGAATGCTTGGAATGGCTATCATGACTTAATTCATAGTACCAGATAGTTAGAGGGATAAGGAGAAGAGCAGAAGGTGGGCACTATAAATAATTTAAGCACATAACTGTATGGTATGCATATAGCACTAATGAACAATCAATGTCCTAATAACAAAGTTATGAAAGTACTTGGGTAACCAGCTAACTCTTGATCCATTAATGTAAATGTAACAAGTGATTCAGTAACTCAACTTGAACATTAGCATTAAGCAAAAGTTTAAAATAACACATTTTGTTTTCCAGGTATACAGTACAGAGCATCTACGGCAGCCCAGAAGAAAGTTTTCTGTTATATGTAGACCATTTCAGGCTTATTTTTTTTGACTTGTTCTGCAATAGTGCTGGCCTTTTTTTCCCTCCCCCTTTTATTACATGTTGAACTGTTAGGAACTGTTTGAAAAAATAATAAATATTTGCTTTCAAATATTTTGTTTTATTTTACTGTAATTTTGAAATGAAATATTTTAGGCACATGAAAAAGACACCATTTTAGGTCATTTTATAACGTATATTCAGCTTAAGAAATTAGACATTGTCAATTGTCAGTACAGTTGTAGGGGTTTTCTAGTATATATACTTAGTAGTGGAATTTACTAGGTCATGGGGTAATTGCTTTCCAAAAAGTTGTTTTACCAATTTACTCCATCACCAGTAGTCTGAGTTCCTTGCCAACACATGGTGTGGCCAGACCATTATTTGCCGGTACATGATACTAGTATAAAAAGGTATCTTATTTTAATACACATTGACTGGTTTCGTAGTCACTTGTTTATTGCTTGTTCATATCCTTTGTCTATTTTTCTATTGAGTTTGTAATTATCATTGATTTGTAGGAATTCCTTATATATTCTGGATATTAATGCTTTGTCAGGTAATTGTATCTTTTCCTAGTCTGTGGCTTATCTTTTCTCGTTTTTGTGGTATCTTTGGGCAAAAAGAAAGTTTTCACTCACTTATCAACCTTTTAATTAAGGTTTCTGTGTCTCATTTAAAAATCCTTCTCTAGGGCCGGCCCCGTGGCTTAGCGGTTAAGTGCGTGCGCTCCGATGCTGGCGGCCCGGGTTCGGATCCCGGGCGCGCACCGACACACTGCTTCTCTGGCCATGCTGAGGCCGCGTCCCACATACAGCAACTAGAACAATGTACAGCTATGACATACAGCTATCTACTGGGGCTTTGGGGGAAAAATAAATAAATAAATAAAATTAAAAAAAAAAAATTAAAAAAAAATAATAAAATAAAAATCCTTCTCTATCCTGAGGTAATATATATAACTAACTCCTATTGTCTTTGAAAAGTTTTAGACATTTTTCATGTTCAGTTCTTAAATCACCAGAAATTAATACATCCACCTATTTTTTTAACTGAGTCATTGCCAACACTATTGTCATACTGCACTGAGTGACTGGACCAACCTATAGTTATATAAATTTACATGTAGGTGACTTGCCCTTCCTTCAAGGACATCTTGCTTCTGTCAGCCTATAGTTTTATAGGCTATAACATCAAGGTACCTGTGGTCAATCAGTATACACCAGCTAGTTATTTTCCACACCCCCTCCATTCTCAAGTGTCCCATTTTGACCAGTTGTATCATCACCCCTCACTATGAGATCATTTGTTCTCATAGAATGAAGTCTTCTGTTTTACTGTTGGACCTATTTGTATTCATTTGTTATTTTAACTTCCCAGTCTATTACAACTAAAGAACCTCTGTAGTAGATAAAATGCTTTGAGTACTAATTGAACACAGTAATGTTTTGACTGGAGAGATGCTCTTACTCCTTGAGTAAACTTTCTGTGTTAAGTCTTTGTTCTATGGCTGATGTGCCCATGGAAAATCTATGAGATACTGCATTTCTTGGACTTCTTGGTTTTTATAACCATCTCCAACCAATAAAAGTGCCCACTTACTATTTTTAAAGTCTATCCAGTTTATAACAAAGTAATAATGCTTTCCTTAGTCATGCGTTTAACTGTAGAAAGACAGGACAGGTGAATTAAAAATGAAAGCTGTCTTTGTGATTTCAAAGTATAAAAAGCAGCTGCCGAGTTTTATTTTCTAATCCAAACATAACCTCGTCCATTCACACACACACACAGTTTATATACATTAAACCACAGGATCCACAAGAAATGTACCTTTTTTAACAAGAAAATCAAGTTAGTGTTATTGCATGATTAGTCACACACAAGGATCATCACAATTTTGTATCCATTAGAACATTTCCGTCCTTGTCTTTAACTCTGATTCGACCAGATGTATATTTTGTTTCTTGATGACCATTTGTATATACAGTTTTAACAGTGCCATCTGGATATTCCCGTCTCTTAAACTGGGCAGTATGTAGTTCTCTTTGGCCGTTATTAAACTCTATGATTTTGTTGCCATCTCTGTAAATTTAAAATAATAGAATTTAATTTCTTTGAAAATACGAAATACACGACAGGAAAACAATTTATAAGTAACCTTCTGACTCTGGCAGTTATTTCCTCTCCTAGAACATCCCTTGGTGCTTTTCCCAGCACCAGATCTCCTTGCAAATTCTTTCCACACGTTTCTGCTGCAGGTTGATAGTTCCAATTATCAGATAAGCACTTGTATGTGCCCATGAAAAGTTTATTTTAATAAATTTGTTTTCACCACAAAATGTGTAGGCTGCTTTTGACTTTATGTGTGTTCTGCCTCTAAAAAACCTGGGCGTTGTATTAAAATATGGCTTTCAGTTTGGACTCATATTCTTTTCAATAAGTTAAAAGCTGTCTGAGTGCTTGCTCTTTCCCAGGTTAGAGAAGAGAGCTATATTCCTGGGAAGTGGCATGATCGGACTTAAGTCGTGTTTTGAAGCAATGGAACAAAGAAGCAGAATATGGAAAATAGTTAATATCAACTTGATTGTCTGTGGGACATTCAAACTAAACCCCTAAATATAGGTATAATGTGCCATTAGAAACATAAAGCTAGGGTTAAAGATTAGGAATCACCAGTTCTCAAGAGAGTGGTTTTTTTCTATTTTGGTTATTTCTCAAATTTTATATGACTGTGATGGCTTTGTGCCACATACAAGTGGTAGACCTAAAAGCCATTATCTAAGTGCAGCCCCTGGCCCAGGAGTGTCAGCATCACCTGAGAACTCCTTACAAATGCATATTATTGGGATGGGGCCCAATCTGCATTTGAACAATCCTTCCAGGTGATTTTAACATACAGTAAAGTTTGAGAACCACCGCTATGAGTGAAAAATGCCAACATAATCCTGAATGAATTGCATATTTGAAAGTTGCTAAGAGAGTAAATCTTAAAAGTCTTCATCTCGCACAAAAAATTTTGTCTGGTGACACGTTAAGTAGACGTATTGTGGTGATCATTTCACAGTATGTACAAATATCAAATCATTATGTTATACACCTAAAACTAATGTCAATTATATGTCAATAAAGAAATAATCCTGAATGAACTAATATAATATCTGGGATTTGCTTGAGTGTAGATGAAAAAAGATTGGCGATGAGTTAATACTTGAAAATGGACAGATGGGTACACAGTTTTTCATATTATTTTCTCTACTTTTTATTATAGAAAGTTTCAGAGTTAAAAAATTGAAAAGTTCCTGAAATCATTCAAAGTATAGTGTACACATAAGATTTTCCTCAGATTTTAGAACAAACTGCTATTTATTTAGTTGAGCACCAAATAGTTTCAGGCCATGTTAAGAGAAAAACACTATGAGGACCATAAGAAGTTCCTACATTATTTGAATTCATGTTTTTACCTTTTTTTTTTTTGGCCAAGTTTATGTTATAGAATTCAAGTTAGTTAAATGCATCTACGATGTATTAGTTGTATACAAGTTAACGGGCACATAATTGTCACACTCTAGGAGAGGAGGGTGAAAACTAAAAGTACGACACTGGATTTGATAAACCTTCACCATGGTTTTAATTAAAATGGTGATTAGAAGATGCTCTTGGGCCGGCCCCGTGGCTTAGCGGTTAAGTGCGCGCGCTCCACTACTGGCAGCCCGGGTTCGGATCCCGGGTGTGCACCGACGCACCGCTTGTCCGGCCGTGCTGAGGCGGCGTCCCACATACAGCAACTAGAAGGATGTGCAACTATGACATACAACTATCTACTGGGGTTTTGGGGCAAAAAAAGGAGGAGGATTGGCAATAGATGTTAGCTCAGAGCTGGTCTTCCTCAGCAAAGAGAGGAGGATTAGCACGGATGTTAGCTCAGGGCTGACCTTCCTCAAAAAAAAAAAAAAAAAAGGCTCTTTATTGTGAATTGAAGTCACTTAAAGAAGTCATCTCTAACTTTAAGAAATGTTAACCCTCAGAAGGATAAACCTTTATTTTATTTTTTGCTGAGGAAGATTGGCCCTTGGCTAACATCTGTGCCCATCCTCCTCTACTTTATGTGGCACGCCACCTCAGCATGGCTTGACAAGCAGCATAGCTCTGCACCCAGGATCCGAACCCGGGCCACCAGAAGCAGAGCGTGCACACTTAACCACTATGCCACTGGGCCGGCCTGGAGGTTGCTAATTCTAAAGAATTGGATCAGGGAGGCTGGAGGAGTAAAGTGCTTATCAGGCTGGGACAAGGAGATCCAGAAAATCAAACTATAAGTAAGAGAAGAGAGAGTTTAATTTAAACACGGCTGCCACTGTTTGGTTATTTTAAAAAGTGACAGGGCAGCTTTCCTTTTTTGTGTCTCATTCACTGTTTTCAAATTTCACAAAATTATTTCTAAACAAATACTTGCCATTCTCCTTTCCTGAAGTGCTATTTACACTACCTTTAAGTCTCCAGATCTATATATCTCAAACTAGTTCCAAACTCACCTGCTCTAAAAGTGTCCTTCTTTGCCCACTTCTGAACTCACTGAAATTTTGAATGACTTACACATACACAAATGTTTTAAGATTTTAAAAATTAAATTGATAATAAAATGGAACCATGAAAATGGAAAAACCTAGAAATAAATTTTAACAGCTATCATACCGTTGTACTCTGACAATTGTACCATCTGGGAAAATGCTTTCTTCTTGTCCATCAGCAAATAAGTTTTTGATAGTCTGGTCAGGAAACGTGATTTCTTTTCTTCCATCTGGGAAATGTTTTTCTATTTAAAAAAGGTTACTATAAATATTTAATTATAAAGGAAGGGAAGAATTTAATAAGGAGAGGGCAGAGCAAGTTTTTACCTATCTGTCCACTTGAGAAATGTAAGACTTCTAGTCCTTCTGGATAAGTAGTGTGCGTGGTCCGGGCAGCCGCGTAGTAGTAGATCTGCAAAGACATGAAGTCAGTGTGCCTTTTATTCAGAGAAGTTTAAGCCATGAAGAAAAACACCTCACGGAAACCTACCACTCTCTCGTCTGGCATGACCTGCTTCACGTCACCATTAAAGAAAGCGACGGTGACAGTCTTCCCATCTGCACTTACTTCTTTTCGAGTTCCATTTGGAAACAATATAACATGGCACCCATTCTTATAAACCTTTTCTATCTACAAAAAAGAAAAACAAGATTATCAATATATAAGATTTCCTCCTGAGACTATGTGACAAAACATCCCTAATGCTCTTCCTAACTGCCTACTTTGAAATTTTTCATAATAAAAAGTAAAACATGGGGCTGGCCCAGTGGCTTAGTGGTTAAGTGCATGCACTCTGCTTCGGCGGCCCGGGGTTCGCAGGTTCGGATCTCAGGTGCGCACCAATGCACCACTTGTCAAGCCATGCTGTGGTGGCGTCCCATATAAAGTAGAGGGACAGGCACGGATGTTAGCCCAGGGCCAATCCTCCTCAGCAAAAAGAGGAGGATTGGCAACAGATGTTAATTCAGGGCTGATCTTCCTCACACACACAAAAAAGTAAAACATTCCTTCAAAAGGAGAGAGAGTTGTTAAACTCATAACAATCAACTTTAAGTATCTACACATCACCATTCTTATGTCACCTGTTCCCCCAACACTCTTCCTTTGGTGGAGTTTTTTAAAGCAAACTGCAGACGTACCCTGTACACACTTCAGTAGATGTCTCTAATGGAAGGATTTTTAACGTGACCAAGTCAGCATTACCCCTACAAACTAATTCCTTCATCGCATCATAACCATGTATAATGTTTTCCCTAAATTCACAAAAAAGGCTTTTTACAGTTTATTTGAATCAGGACCAAAACAAGGTCCTCCCACAACACTGGGTTGACGTGTCTCTTAAATCTCAATTTTAACAGTCCTGTCCTTTCCTCCTCTTTGATGCCAATTACTTGTTGAAGGAACTGGGTCACTGAACATGTAAAATTTCTCACATTCTGGATTTGATTGCTTTCCCATTATGGTGTCATTTAACATGTTCTCATATCCCCTATATTTCCTTAAAAGAACCAGTAGTTAGATCTAGAGGCTTGATTAAATTCCAGTTAAATTATTCTGATATTAATACTTTCTAGGTGCTGCTGTGAGCTTCTCATGGCAACACCTTCAGAAGCACAGTACACAGTTGTCGCCCCCGGCCTCAGGCCTGACCGGGTCATGCCAGATGTGCCATGAGGCCCCATCCATTTTTCATCTATGGTTTCAGGAGTCAGCAGTGACTGCTGCCTAGAGCCTTTACTTCATTAGAGGCTGTAAACTGGTGATACTCTAACTTTCTCATTCCTTTTCCATTTATTAGCTGGAATTCTTCTAAAAGAGGAAACCCTGCAGCATAACAATTTGTTACCCTAAACTAGAGCTTGTACAGGAAAAGTCTGCTTCTTTTGACTGTTGTTCTTTGTCCTTCCCTCATTCCTCAAAACTAGCAGTGAACTTTTGCCTTATAATTTCAATTAAAATGGATCAGATGAGGGCATTTGGAAAAGTAAATTCTCTATAAACCTGAGGAAAAATTCCTTCATTACCTCCCTGGTAACAAATGCTGTTTATGTCCCTTCCTTCATTCCTCCTTGTAGCTGGAACACCCAGCCAGGCAGTTTTCCCACTCCAAACCTTTCTCATGCACAAGACTAAAATTGTGCAGGCTGGAGACAGAGAGAAAGACACCTGACCCAGGATGTATTTAAGAAAGGCTGCAAGAAGGATAAGGCCTAGAACTGAGGCTTTTAAAAAATATTTTTAAAAGTAAAGGATTGCAAAGGCATTTTAGCTTTGTTTGGAGGAAGAACAACGAGTTTAAACAAAGGGACTGTATTCCTTCTTTACCTGCATCTCTCAAGTAGACATGGCAACTAAACGAACACTGTATAGTGAGCATTTTTAGAGGAATCCAAAGGTTTAAGCCAAAGTCATGCCCCAAAGTACTGCAAGTTCTTAAGCCCCATCAACAGTCTTAAAGATCAGTTATTTTAGAATCTGTTTCAACTCTATTTTAACCCATATTTATTTTTTATAGTATTATTTTTTTTTAAATTTTTAACCTTTCCATCAGGATGACTGATTTCTCCCTGAATTTCTTCTTTTTCCTCTTTTTCGTCCTCTTCTTTATATGCAGGATCTGGGAGGTCCACTGGTTCAGGGGGCTCCCTGGGTGAGGCAGTCTGTAAGGACAAGAGGCTCTCATCTGTCCCAAAGGACATGTAATAACATTTACAGCAGCTAAAACTTACACTTATTTCCAAAAGCCAGATTCTACTATTATAAGGTTCTATGACTAGTGTTTGGTGTTCTATAGAAAACATTCACCATGTAAAGTAAAAAGCCTCCTTTGTAAATGGTTTAGAAACTTAAGTCAGTTAACTAATCAATTTCAAGCCTGAGTAATCTATGTTTGAATATATAAAAATATAAAGAGATTTACTTGTCCCTTATCCGAACTGCCTAAATCACGAGGAGGCATAGACTTGGATCTTCGAGATGGATTACCTGTTAGAATATAATTATCAGAGTTAGTTTTAATGTTTAATTGAAAGTTTTAAATTTACTTAATATTATGGTCAAACATTTCCTTAGTTCATATCCTTCTTTTGTGAACTGCTGTCCTTTACCCATTAAATAAGGAAGTCTTAATATTTTTCTTTATTAATTTGTAGGAGTTCTTCATTATAGAAGTTCAAATATTTATTCAGGTACTTAAGTCCTGGGTGACCAAGAAAGGCAAAGACAGTACCTGTTCTCTGATGGTTTACAATCTGTAGTACGAGACAGGTGCTCAGTTAACCTAACAGATGGACCCGAAGGCATTTTGGAGACAATCATGAGGGCTTTATCAGATGCTAGGTGTGGGGTAGAGATAAGAGAAGCATCCAAGAATACACAGAGAATTTGGCTTGAAAAATAACTGAGGATTTAATTACAATCTAGATCTAATAGCTAGGTCTAAACTTTTTAGATCATGACCAACACCTCAATGATATGCTGCATTGGTAATACATACATTATAAAATAAGTATACAAACACACATACCACCACCACTACCAACAAGTTGAGGTGAACTTTTTTTTTTTGATGAGGAAGATTGTCCCTGAGCTAACATCTGTGCCCATCTGCCTCTATTTTGTATGTGGGATGCCACCACAGCCCGGCTTGATGAGTGGTGCATCAGTCCATGCCCGGGATTTGAACCTGTGAACCCTGGGCCGGCGAAGCGGAGCACATGAACTTAATCACTACACCACTGGGCCGGCCCCTGAAGTTTTAAAAATATACTGAAGTTCTAATATTTTTTTTCCTATATGCCAGTGGGTCATATTATAAACACTCCCAAATTTGAAGGGTTTCAAGCAAGTGCCAGGATCTGACTCATATGTTAAAAACTAGAATGGATGCTGGATGCTACAGGGAGAATAGATTAGAGAAGAAGAAGAAAGGCAGAGGCCAGTTAGGAGGCTGTAGCATATGGGAAGGCTTGTGTGGCATCCATGGAGACAGAAGTTTTGGCCTGAGCAAACAGGTGATGGTAGATAAGGTTCTGGTGATAAAAGGAGTGCTCAGTTTTAGATATGACGAATGAGAATAACTTCCTCCACCTCATAGGTGCAAAGTAAACCATGCACTACCATTTGAGCTCTGTGTTAGCTTATTTCTAAATCTTATAACCACTGTCCATAGAAGAATAATACTCCATTTTACAGGTGAGGAAATCAAGGCTGAGAGGTTAAATAACATGCCACAGTTGTCAATTAATAAAAGGCAGAACCAGGATTCACACCCATTAACCTTAATTCTCTCAAGTTGTTCATGAACATTAACTTGAAGCCTCTAAGCATTCACTTAGCTGGGAGGATCAAGGAGAGGTGAACAGGAGCATAGAGTTCGGACTCCTAGGGGTGTGTTCACCATACTGAGTACTGTATATACACAGCTTATAAACTTATGTATAACATAAGGGATGGGAAGAGTAAAAGTATTTAATAAACAGTGCTGGAATAGCTAGATATAGATAATATAGGAGGATATGTTTATGACCTCAAGATAGGGAAAGACTTAAGAGGCATTACCCATAAAGGAAAAAAACTGAAATTCAACCACATTAAAATAAGAATTTTGGGAATTTTTAAGGTGATGTCAGCATCATGGTGGCATAAGTCATTCCTCTTTTCTCTCATCTTTTTAAAAAACTAATTAGACATCCATAACCAAACAAAAGTGTCTCAGCACCTTAACCAAGGGATCTGGGAGGATTCTTGCCCATCTGTCCACCTAAAAATAAACAAGGCCTCAGTAAGGGCTGTGGACCCAAGGGAAGTTGGCAAACCTGCCCCACTCCCACTCACTGCGACTGGAGAAAAGACTTGGAGCATGCAAAGCTGAGCAAATACCCAAAGACAAGAGAGAATCTGAAGAAGTCCAGCCTGCTTCAGAGGAGATGCCAGCATGCCATCAGACCAGGACAGAGACAAGTTCATACACAGAGGAGAGGGAGGAACTTGCCAGAGCTGCCCCCTAACCCAGGGTGACACTGCACCACTAACCTGTGTAGCAGTGGCAGCGATGACCTCTCCCAAGGAAGAGGTGGAAAGCAAAAGCAGTGAGTGACTGCCTGGCTATCCCAGTTATGTGGTTTGTGGCTGGAGAAACCTGTTTCTCTCCAAGAGCACTCGGATTTCTGAGGAGGGAACTCCATGACTAGCAGGAGGGAGGAGAAAGGGAAGGAAGCAGAAAAGAATATCAAAGGGCACTGAAGGAATGTGGTTCCTGCTGTCTGCTTCAGGACTTCAGCAAGAAGTCCACCCACAAGCCTCCAGTAGTACCCCACTTGAGGATCTCCCCACTAGGCCCACAGGGACCCTCAAAGCCCCAAGTGCTCTGCCCTACACCACCCCAACTCTGCTGCCAGCTCCTTGTGCACACTCACGAGAGCATCCACAACAACGTGCTCCAAGAGACAAGGAGTGTGTTCAGAAAACAGGCCACAGTTGGTGGGCAAGGGAGAAACCACAAACTTGAGCTTTAGCACCACCTTCTGGAATACAAAAGAAAGGTTTCTAATAGCCAGCCTGGTGAACTGTAAGAACCAAAGAAGTCACAGAAGCTTAGTTAAGGAGGTATCCGCTACTTCAAATGTGAAAACAGAAGCACTGAGCTACAAACACTACCAAAAAAATCAAAGAAACATGATATCACAAAAAGAAAATGATAATTCTCCAAGCAACTGAACTCAAAGGCAAGGAATACTGTGATCTACTAAATAAAGAATTCAAAATTGCTGTTGTGAAGAAATTCAATAAGCTACAAGAAAACTCAGACAATTCCAGAAAATCATGAATAAAATTAATGAACAGAAGCTCTTTACTAAAGAGATTGAAATTATAAAAAAGAACCAAACAGAAATTCTGGAGCTGAAGAATTCAATGAATGAGATGAAGAATGCAATAGAGCATCTACAGCAGGGCAGACCAGATAGAAGAAAGAATACGTGACTTAGAGGATAGGAATACAGAAATACTACAGTTAGACGAGAAGAAACTAAGATTTAAAAAGAGTGAAGCCACCAAGAGCTGTGGGATTCCATTAGAAAGGCAGATATTTGAATAATTGGTGTCCCAGAAGGAGAAGAGAGGGAGCAGGGGGCAGAGTTTATTTAAAGAAATAATAGCTGACAACTTCCCAAACCTGGGGAAGGACTTGGACACACAAGTCCACAAAGCTAATAGAACAGCCTATTACCTCAATGGCAAAGGACCTTCTCCAAGATACACTATAATGAAACTGTCAAAAAGCAATGATAAAGAAAATCTTAAAGGTAGCTAGGGAAAAAAAGAAGTAATGTACAAAGGAACCCCCTTAGGTTATCATCGGATATCTCAGCAGAAACTCTACAGGCCAAGAAAGAGTGGAATGATATATTTAAAGAACTGAAAGATAAAAATGGCCAGCCTGGCAAAGTTATCCTTCAGATATGATGGAGAAGTAAGGGCTTTCCCAAACAAAGGCTGAGGGAGTTCATCACCACTAGACCTGCCTTGCAAAAAATGATGAAAAGAGTTCTTCAAGCTGAAACAAAAAGACACTAATTAGCAACATGACAACATACGAAAGTGTACAACACATTGGAAAAAAGTGAAAATTTATAGTGAGAAACAGAAAACTCAAATACTATAACAAGATGGTATATTAACAACTTAATTACAGTATAAAGGTTAAAGGAAAAGAGTATGAAAAATAACTAAAGCTACTATAATTGGTTAATGAATACACAGCATAAAAGAGGTCAATTGTGATATCAAAAACATAAAAGGGGAGGAGTAGAAGGGTGGAGCCTTTATAGGTGAACAAAGATAAGCTGTTATCAGCATAAAATGGACTATTTTATCTATGAGATGTGTTATTTAAACCTCTTGGTAACCACAAGCAAAAATCTAGAGCAGACCCATGAAACATAACACATGGGGAAGCAGAGCTTACCACCATGGAAAACACCAATTTACAAATACAGGCAGAAACAGAGGGAAAAAGAACCAAGAGAAATACAAAACAGGCAGAAAGCAATAAATAAAATGGTAGTGGTAAGCCCTCATACATCAATTATCAACTAATGTAAATGGATTGAATTCACCATTCAAAAAGCACAAAGTGGCTGATGGATACAAAAACAAGACACAACGGGCTGGCCCAGTGGTGTAGTGGTTAAGTTCGTGCATTTGCTTCAGTGGCCTGGGATTCGCAGGTTCAGATCCCAAGTGTGGACCTCCACACCACTCATCAAGCCACACTGTGACGGCATCCCACATACAAAATAGAGGAAGATTGGCAGCAGATGTTAGCTCAGGGCCAATCTTCCTCACAAAAGAAATAAAATAAAAACAAGACCCAACTATATGCTGCCTTAGAGACTCATTTCACCTCTAAATACACACATAGGCTCAAATTCGTGAAGGGATGGAAGAAGATATTCCATGCAAGTGGAAACCAAAAGAAAGCAGGGGTAGCCATGCTCACATGAGACAAAATAGACTTTAAGCCAAAAACAGTAACAAGGGACAAAGAAGGTCATTATATAATGATAAAAGGGGTCAATACATCAAGAAGATACAACAATTGTAAATACATATGAACCCAAATCGGAGCACCTAAATATATTAAGCAAATATTAACAGATCTGAAGAGAGAAATAGACCACAATACAATAATAGCAGGGGACTCAATACCCTACTGTCAGGAATGGATAAATCATCCAGACAGAAAATCAAGAAGGAAACGCTGGAATTGAACCACACTTTAGACCAAATGGAATTAACAGACATTTCATCCAACAGGAGCAGAATATACATTCTTCTCAAGTGCACATGGAACATTCTCCAGGATAGATCATATGACAGGACAAAAAACAAGTCTTAGGAAATTTAAGAAGATTGAAATCATACCAACTATCTTTTCTGACTACAATGGTATGAAATTAGTAATCAACAACAAGAGAAAAGCT